CGGCCCACCGGCGGGTTACCTGTGTCTCCGATGATGATGTACTTGAAGAGATAAGCATAAGTCATGGTCCCGAGGCGTCTGGGTTCCGGGTCCGCTTGATTTCTACAGCCACGTACCTCCGACCTCTCTAGCCACCCAAACTACCGATCTCCTGATTTGCCTCCGCTCCAGCCCTTCTAGCTCGGGCCGCGTCTCTATTGCTCTCCCCAGAAATCCTCGCTGGATCCTGAGTACCCGACGCCGCCTCTAGGGCCGCCCCGCGCTCTTCTACATGCCATCATCCCACCAAGCTCCAGGGGGCGACAGCGAGCCTTCCGGCGGCTTGGCTCGCGACTCGTTCGGCCGGGGCTCCGTCCAATCAGCGGAGAGCGACGCTCCCCCGTGCGGAAGTGACGCGTTCGGAACCCGGTGGGGCCGGTGGGAGCGATGCGGACGCTGAGAGGCTGGTAGGGCTGCTGTGAAGATGGAGGTAGGCGCCGGGTCTCGGGGGTTTGGCGAGCAGCGCGGCCGACTGGGTGGAAGCAGACACTGGGGAGCCGGGCCAGGGAGGAGCGAGGGGGGCTCGGGGGTGTTGGGGGCCGCCGGGGTTTCAGCGCACCCCTGCTCCCCTCACTTATCCCCCGTGGCTTTTTTTTTTTTTTGGTTTGCAGTTTCCCGGAGGAAATGACAATTACCTGACGATCACTGGGCCCTCGCATCCCTTCCTGTCCGGGGCCGAGGTGAGCAAAAGCTGCCGACGCTGGGGCAGCGGTTGGGGCAGGACGGTGCGGGGAGAGCGCGGGGGCGGACGGGAGCTGGGGGAGGACGGTGGCCCAGGCTTCGGGAGCCTCGGAAGGCTGTCGGGAGCGGGCGGGGTGGGGGGGACGACGGACGGGAAGCGGCTGTCATCCGAAAACCAGGATGTTGGTTGGGGAGACTGCCTGTGGAAGGAAGGGGTCCGGTTCTGAGTGTCGAGAACGAAGGAATTGTCGGCCTTGGTTAGGGTGAAATCGTTGCAACAAGATAGCAAGGAAGAAGGTTTTTTTTCAGTAAAGACATCGAGATAAGAAAGTAGTTTATCTAGCAAGGGTTCACCTCGGACAGGTGTTAATTCTTTGAGACTTCTGATAAAAGTGGTTACTTTTACCAAGGTGGTTTCTGCGTGCTTTGCTAAGGAAGGACAGAAGGAAGGAAATGGCTGCTAGAGAACATAAAAGGAGTGGAGTCTACCAGTTTGCCAGTGATTATAAACTTGGAGCAGATAACTTCACTTTTGGATCACAGTTTAAAAAACTATAACAATAGGGTTTGTTAGTTTTGTTTTGTTTTTGTTTGTTTGTTTGTTTGGCTTTTTTCGAGACAGGGTTTCTCTGTGTAGCTTTGCGCCTGTCCTGGAACTCGCTTTGGAGACCAGGCTGGACTGGAACTCACAAAGATCCGCCTGGCTCTGCCTCCCGAGTGCTGGGATTAAAGGCGTGCGCCACCACCGACCCGGCCCCTTGTTTTGCTTTTTAAATATGGTGTGAAATAGAAACAATGGTTGTTGGAGCCTGTAAGACAGGGATTTTCAACCGGCGGGTCGCGACCCCTTGGGAGTCGCATGTCAGATATTTACATTATGATTCATAACAGTAGCAGAATTATAGTTATAAAGTAGCAATAAAATAATTTTGTGTGTGTGTGGGGGGGTCACCACAGCATGAGGAACTGTGATAAAGGGTGGCAGCATTAGGAAGGTTGAGAACCACTGCTCTAAGATATTCCAGAAAACGTGGTTGACAGATTTTACTACTATAAGCATAACACTTCTTTAGGTAAAGCCAAAGTAAAAGATGCAGTGTATGATAATTTCCTTTTTTTTTAGAACTTGAACCTTGGACCTCCTTTTGAGGATTATATACTCCCTCCCACCCCCAGCGATGTGAATCATTTGCATTTCTTTTTCTTCTTTTTTTTTTCACCAAAAGTTGTCTATTGCTGTTTTGTGGGTTTATCCTATAATAAATCCTTACATTTTCATGGTTGAGATTGACAGTGAGTAGTTGCTAGTTTTTTGTTTTTGTTTTAAGAAGCCCTGGCTGTCCTGGATCTCACTATATAGTTCAGGCTGGCCTTTAACTTGCAGAGCTGCCTGCCTCTACCTTTCCCTTTCAGAGTGCTGGGATTAAAGGCATATGCCACAACACCCGGCTGCT